CCACATGATTTAGTACAATATAAATTGGTCGCATTTGTTCAACGAATCGCTAGAGCCTGTCTACTCGGTGCAAGGTGTCGATACACAGCGTGTACATCAGTCAAAAGGTGAGCAGTGCTTATTCAAATCAACATTCACAAACACCACCGAACGAGAGCAAGAATATTCATTCAAAACCGAACGAACCACTCGCAGTATTGCTACAGTTATTATTGGTTAGTTGCTTCATGAGAATTTGAACTGATCATTCCGTTGAGATCTTGAATTTTGTGGCTTTTTACCTCATGAATTGCATTATCTAAAGTTTTAAATTCCACAAAAATTTTTTTCGAAGATTGTTTCGATAAAAAGTTTCCATTGGGTATCGCAATGGAAACTTTTTATTTTAAGTTCCATTGGTAAGATAAATCACAGTCTAGTGGGATGGATCACTTATACATCGCAAAAACGCTGAGTTAGCAAGACAGAGACCAATTGGTCACTCATTGTATTGGTCAGAAATAGTTATGCCTCTTTTTGGTCAATCAGAGACCACCAACGTTTCGTAATCAACATCATTAACATAATTTGAGTAGTATCAGTGGAATGACGACCGTAAACAAAGTGCTAACGAACCAATTACCTACCTATCGAATCAAGCAGAAACTTTGTTCGATATGTTTGGCGAGGACACCATTCTAGTCAAGTAGATCAGAATTCTCGCGGTTCTAGAGAAATACGTCGATGCATTTGCTTTGTTTCGACTTTGTGTTGTTTTGGGATACGACTACAAAATTTCAGAGAAAGGCGTATGTCGAGGCGTTGAGATGGCGCTGAAACTGAAAACGCCGTGTGAAGTGGTCGAAGCGAATGCCGGATTTCATAACGAAGTGTCAGTGATGCACATCGGTGAGAACACCACTGAGGAGGAGTTGACTTGGGGTGTTGACAGCACTGTTCGAGTACCACCCTTATGTGAAACGGTTGCCGAATTGGTGATTCTCGAAGAACATCATACAAGGTCTGAATGACACTGTTATGAATGGCTGGCTAGTTTGCACGTAAACAAAACGTTTTATATCATATGCACTCTGCAGGAGTTTCTCAATCGAAGGACGTCTCTCAGGGAAAGTGATCGTTACGGTAACGAATCTTCATGACAACAACAATCTGGTGACAATCCTCGAGGGCAAGATTGCCGATATTATTCGTGGCACTCCGAATTATCCAGCTATGGGCTTTGTCATAGCGCACGATGTGAGAGTGATTTACATTTCTCTGCTATTATTTATGCTGTGAATAACGTTCAACTGATTGATTGCTTGCTAGCAATCATGAAAATGTGATGTTTTCAATCACTTATTGAATTAACTTGAACAATCTCTCAGCAAACACTAAATTCATTTTACACCGAAAATTTGATTTTTGAAAAATATGTCAAAAGTCGTTGGTTTCGTACGATTCAACGGTTTTACGTAGTTTGATGAATTCGTGTTGTTATTGATGATTACGGAACAAAATCCAAATTCACACACTCACACACAAATTCATGAATCATTCAGCACTATGGGCATTGTTTGTTCGAACCGAATCGATTGCTAATAGCTCATTAGTTATTCTGGTCTATATTGACGGCAATGTGATGATGAGAGACGTTGTCATGATGCATGTAATGCTCAGCTATTACTAAGGGTAGATGTTCTAGGATGCATAAACAGATAATACATCACCAAAACAGATCGACAACACATTCATCATTATCATCACGTCAGCGTGATCGTTATTCATGATTCTACACCACTTATGCAAATTTCTACTTTGAATATGTAAATACATAGGAGGTACGCCGATGAATGTTGGCTGATTGTGAGTGTAAAACGGGTGTTTTATTGTAATATAATGGTGAACTGAATTGAATATTCGGCGTACTAAACTCATAAGAATTTTATGGTGTGCGCGAAACTGTAACGGGTGACATCAATAAGTAGTACTATATAATTTTATATAGCAACGGATAACANTAATTCGGTATTCTTTCCATGAATTTCGCAACAATAAAACGTCATCTGCATAGAACGATGCGATAATACTGCATTGAGTCATCTAAAAGATATCTCATCCAAACAACGTTCACTGAGCATCGAACAGTAACTTTTCGGCCACTCTGTCTAAGTGATATTTTCCGTAAGATCCGAATTGATTCTCCTTCAGAAAATGCATTTCAGGTGGCAACATACACTACTAAAGGAATATGTAAGTTCAAATATGGTATTGAGCAGAAGGTACGAATAACTGAACATGCTGTACGTCGACCGTATTAGATCTGTGTATGTGTGTGTGTGTGTGGAGCGAAAGAAAAACAATAATTGTGATCAGAAATAAATGACCATTCGAATATCGTCGCTAAGATAATCAACTCATTCACCAGTCGTCAACAGCTTCATGGACTTGATCATCACATTTGTTTATGTACATGCATTTCATTTGAATTACTTACCCACTTCATATATGACCGATCTCGTAACAATATTGAATTACTTTGTTTAATCGAAGTAAAACTAATCTGAACTTTATGTACGGGATATTCGTTTGTTTATTTCAGCTTGTTTCAGCATTATGTGAATTCAGTTCATTAAGAGTGCTTTGTTATTGCCAGTGATCCACACAAAATGTTCTAGCTTAAAGCTTTTTCTAATTGTTTATGAATTGTTCATATGTTATCAAAACTATCTTTGAGTAAAATTGAATCTTCCAAATGTTGTTATTTCAAAGAAAATTCGTCTCACACACCAGCTGAATGGTTCATCCAAGAACCGGGCAATTTTCCACAACAAACATTTCAAAACTTTGCGAATATACAAAAAAATTCTTGATATTATTAAACTCTTTTTCGAGCCACTGAAAGTGTCGCTGATCGCTCGACAGATGTTTGTATCAAATGAAAAATTCGAAGATTTCAATGTTGTCGTGCGACGAAACAAACAACGATTACGGAATATCTGAAGTGTTCGAATTGAACTTCATGAAATCACATTCAAATATAGCTCTCTTATGAAGATAACACCAACAACAGTCATAACGAAAAGGACAAAACAAAGCGACATCATAGATCACA